CCTTGGATTCTTCCACACGCACTCGCGACATGATCGCGATCGGTTCATCACAGTTGACAAAGAAAATATCAAGGTAAGTTTTGGATTTCATGGAAACGCTTCATAATGTCACTGAATACTTCAGCCTGACTGGCTAGACCAATTCACACTGGAGACGCCGGCAACCAATAACAATTATGATTTAACATATGACTACGGTAGCCTGATGCACTACGGAGCCACAAGGTGGGACGCTGATGAACGCATAATTCTAGCGTTGAAGGGAATAAATGCGCTTTTCCAGCGCTACCAGAAACAAGCTGCCTACCATGGTGCCAAAGGACGTGCAATATACACAGACCTTGGGGTCTCCTTTCATTTCGTTCTACGACCTTCTCATGCTTAACACACACTACAACTGCACTGGTAAGTAGTACTTTTGGTGGTTTGCTACCTCGTAACGCTTATGAACAGTAGTGTTTCAGACGCTTTGAAAGGCTGCAAAATACACGCGCGTGCCAGAATCATGGATTCGCTCATCCTCGTGATTGTTCCAGATGTATATGTCCTAGCGGATACGGTGGCCAGTTCTGCGAGAAGAAGGTAGCGTTCATTTTGCAAATCGAACTTGCAACTATCCTCGAAAGCTTCATTTAGCCACAAGATAGATTGCGCCCGTCGCGAATTGAATGCGACCAAAGATTGGACACCGCTCGTCGACGACCTAGGCAATCGGGCAGCCGGCGGTTTGCCGCGTGAGGACTTTATGAAATGCCACTACTGGATCAAGGTACGTGACGGCAAGCAAATACTTAAAGTGAACAGACTCGAGGATTGCATCTCAAGGCCCCATTCGGTTTTAAAAACGCATGCAAGTTAAACTTCGCTAAACTTCACTGACTGGTAAATTGCGCGTCGATGATGGCCCACGTAATGCTGGAGTTAGAATCAAAACACATTGAAGATCCAACGTCGCACGCGGTTACAGGCTATTGAAAGTTACGCCCATATAAAGGTATAAAGCTTCTGTAAGTATAATCATAGGCAAGAATACTATTTAGATTCTGCTCAAAAGACGACGCAAACAGGCCGTACTTCAATTCAGACCTTTGAGCCCACGTTTCCTATATAACCTACAACCGAATCGTACTGCCACTTGTCACGAAGTGGTGTTACCGCGCAGTTTAGAGGACTTCCTCAGTGTTCAAAAAACGCGGTTTTCTCGAAATAAACTGTTCACTTTCATCATTTTTCCTAACACTACAACAATTATTCCACTGAAGCTCCTTCTCAGTGAACTTGTTTCAACGACTGTCGATCGTTAACCGTGTAAGGTTACCAGTTGTAAATACCTGAACGTCTAAGTGGCAAAAGCGAAGAAAGTCTAGTTCATCCCTCCGTAGCGCAGTGCGCTAGACATTTCACTTTCTAATTCGCAGCGTCCGATATTTGGCGTTTTTTGCTGACCCAGAATACATACACTTCGGCAGTTGGCCCGACGCTACACTACGATGTTAGCTGATGATTTCATGCCGGCCCCAGAATTAGCCAGCAAGATAGTTATGCGTCATCCGCAAGGCCACCTATGCATTAGGCTGCCAGGGGTCGCGATGCGGCTGCAGCCGCGTCACGACCGCGACGATCAGCTGTTTCCGGCCTGATTTGGCCATTTTCTCCCCAGTTTTCACTGTATTATTTATTTTCCTTGGAAAGTAAGTTATTTTTTTGTCTTTATGAAGTGTATTGAGACGTGGATTCTATTTTGTTCTTGTAATAAGGTGTTTTTCTTTAATGAAGTGTCGATTTTTCACAGGTATTTGTTCGATTGTCTGCTTAACTGTTCAGTTGTACGCAAAAATCAGAGGAATCTCAATCATAATTCACCTTGTGAAGACAAGGAACAACTAATCTTGAAAAAGCAGCCAAAACAGTGTAAATTAGGGAGAAAATGGCTAAAATAGGCTGGAAACAGCTGATCGCCGCGCTCGTGACACGCCGCAGCCGCGTCGCGACCCTTGGCCGCCTAATCAAGAGCCCCTGTGACGGCTGTAAGGCAGCGTTCATAGTTCGCGACAGCAGCGGCGATCGCCGCGATCGTCGGTGCATGGCAGCGCGCGCCCCAACGCTATTGTGGATGCTCGCCTGATGAATAAGGGAATTCAACTTGTAAGACCTTCTTTACTCTTAATAAGGGCTACTAACAGATAAGCTACGACTTTCTACACATAAGCAGATCTGGAATATGAGGTAAGAAGGTTTCACTTCCTTTTAGGTCGGGGTAAGACCAACTCCATTTCCTGGGTGAGCTTCTTTTTTTGTTTTTATTGTTTCAACTTATGCATGCGCCTCAGGAATTCGCTGTTCCAACTTCCAAAACATTCATAGTTTACAAGTCGAGTTCAAACAACGAAGAAAAAAAAGAAACAGAAAGAAACTCTCCTAGGAACCAAAGCACTAATCATTTTACGCGACATCAACAGGTGAAAACTTCATAAACCTCATGTACAACCTCGACGAATGAAAAAAGAAGCAATAAAAACGTACCTCAAGTGAAGCTCTCGCGCTTTTTGCTCATTTCTATCCTAAATAAGAAAGAAA